GAGAGAAGAGAGAAGAGAGAAGAGAGAAGAGAGAAGAGAGAAGAGAGAAGAGAGAAGAGAGAAGAGAGTGTTGTAGTAAAGAGATGCAGATTGGACGCAGAGGCTTCGGCCATCCATTTTGGGAACCTGAAAGAGGGGGGAAAGGTGGGGGGAGGAGGTACGAATAGCGTGCTGGAGGCTGGAGGGACGGCAAAGGGCCTACAGGGGCCTGGGGCGTGCCTACCCTGCACCGCCTTATATGGCCCGTCACCAGCGACCCGTTACCCGGCCAGCCCATGTGTGTCGCCACAGTGTAGAGAGACACCGTGTGTGTCGCTAACGGCCCGCAGGGGCCCCACGGAGCTGGGCGGAAGGCGCCGAGCATGGGGCTCAAAATGCAACTCTGGTCAGTAACCCAACCAGGCCATACAACATTGTAAGTATAAGCCGTGTTGCTCAGTCGACCTGGGAGGCACGCGCTTCCTTGTGTTCACATGGCGGTACATATGGCCGAATGTTGGGGTTGCAGACGCGCGCTCTGCAAAGCTCCCCTCTGGGACTTCCTCGGGGATGTGATCCCATGTGATCCCCTCTGCGGTGCGCCCCGCCCGGCCCTGTCCCGGGGGGCGCCTGCCATACCGCGCGCGGCACAACTCGTATCGGAACGGTGACAAGGAACGGCCGAACCGGAGCTGAGCCCAGCTTATACAAGGTGGGGGAGTCTGGGAAGAACACAATGACACCTTTCAAACGCGCTTGTTGCATATTTGGAGAGATCATCGCCGAAACAATGCGATAAAAAGTTGGGTTCTTTTGTACTCTTTACGTACTAAATAGTTGTCCCAATTAGAAATCAGGAAAATCCTTCCCAAAAAAAGAAGTTTGAAACATTGAAATTTAATTAGTCTATCAAACTAACTACCAGTCCTTACCGGTCTATTTTGGATCGTCTGAACGGACAGGTGTAGAAATCGACAGGTTTGCCGGGCACCTCCTCTGCCATGATGTTGGGCATCCTTAAGCTCGCCAGTACATGCGCCGACCAGTTCTCCGCCGGGTTGGGCTGAGCCTGCGGTCCACGTCAACCAATTAACATCTCACTCGATCTCAAAGGAAACAATACAAGACTTCTCCATAGACCTCAGTTCAACCTAATTTCAAAGTAGTCCGTCGCTTCTTACCTTGCTGTAAGCGCGAATCTGTTGTGCGTGGATTCATGCGTGCGCAGATCAAAGAAAGGAACATCAGTGCAAAAGACAAATGTTATTGTTTGTAGTTAAATTGCAGAGGTAGATGTAATTAGAATGGTGAATACACTAGAATGCTATGAATGTAAGGCTGAACTGGTGGATCATTGGATGGATGGCATGCGGTGTACATTACTGTGTCGGAGTGCGTCTGACTTCGCACCCCACAACAGTAGTTTTGGAAAGTATTTATAAACACGTTCAGTGCGGCGAAGGTCCGCGGTAAGAATAGCCAAGAAAATTAAGCACGGACGAGAGACTTCAATGTATTCGCACAACCAGTACGATATGATGTAAATGGTCCAGCGCGATTTTCAGTGATGTTGGCGTGCAAAAATACAAATTACCACATTACCAGCGCCAAAGACGTGCAAATTTTAAGTGCCCTTGAAAATTGATAATATTTAGTAGTCCTCGGTAGAGGAGTTAATTAAGGTGCTACGTTTTTGTTATAGTGTTAACTGTGTTAAGTGGGAAAGAATTAAGAGAATGGAAATAACGTCAGGCGTTAGGTGTTATAGCCTGTGATAAAATATAGTGCCAAAAGACGAAAATTGAGTTATATGGATGCACCAGACATCGGCCTCATGCTACCACAACAATGATTAACTCGGGAGGCGCTAGGCTAAAGCTACGTTTTAATCACTCTGTAATCATCTGTTCTCAAACCAAAGGCACACGACATGAAGTTTTACTGCGTTAGTTTGCTTTGATCTATTCGGGCTCCGGCGACTCTTGACTGACAAGAAAAGGTTTTCCGTTGATACAGTCAGATTTCAATGGCGCTTTAAAGTGTAGTTGTTTGCACCCCTAGATAAGGTTTGGCACTGGTTTTAGCTGCCCGTAGGGAGTTTGAAGGTCATTTCACGCGAATTTCATCAAAAATTTCCCAAATTCATCCCTTTTTTTGCCATCTTTGCATGCACATATCTCCGGAACCGTTTGAGCTACAGCGCCCAGATTTTGCAGGAAATTATCTTCCAATTAGCACTTTCCATGAAAAATATTTGAACAAAATCAGTGGGGGTCACCAAAAGGGGTCCAGGATCGTAACCTCCTCTTGGGACCCGTTTTTGCGACCCTATTCGATTTCTTTCAAATTTTCTACAAGTAAAGAACATGCCGAATTATGATTTCCCTCAAAATTGAATTTTTTGTAAAATTCGCGATAAACGACCTTCTAACACCCAATGGGCAGCTGAAACCAATGCAAAACCTTATCTAGGGGTGGAAACAACAACGCTTTAAAGTGCCATTGAAATCTGACTGTATCACCGAAAACCCTTCCCTTATGAGATAAGCGCAGAGGCAGGGGCGGGGGCGGAGGCGGCTACGCAGTGTAGCCGAGTGTGGCGCGCTGCAGGTATTGCACTTTTACGGAACTCGCGAACAAGGGAAAAGACTTAAAAGGAAGGAGTCGGGAGCCGGAGAGAGAAATAGAGAGGAGGCAATTAAAGACGTCCGAGACGGACTGACCTGCAGTGGAGCCCGCATGCTCAGCTCCTCCGCGTAGTGGCACATGACGGGCCAGGTGGCGTGCAGCTTGAGGAAGTGGACCAGCTTCCGGTTGTCGCTCTCCACCACCTCCTGCAACAGGAGGCCGTAGAAGGAGGCATTTAAGTGATCGAAGTATATTGAAGACAATTCCTAGCAAAAACATCAACAAACGTAACGCAAGCAGCTCATGCTCATCAGCGTCACAGACCGGCGCCGGCAGTCAGGGGTAAGACAGTGTGCGTGCCTGTGTGGGTGTGTGGAAGAGAAAGAGACAGAGGGTGCAATAAACGTGTTTGGGCTAAGGGCCGAACCAGCCCACCCCTTGCCCCACGCTGACGTCAGGGTCACACGAGCAAAGGTGCTGAGCTGGAGGGCGTGGGCGCGCGGCTGGCGGCGGGGGAGAGCAGGACGGAGCAGGGGGCGTGATGACATTTCGCATCACTTCAGGAAGGAGCGGGGAGGAGGTCACCGGCGGTAGGCAGGTGGCCGGCGGGTGAACGGCGGCGAAAGGGCGGCAGGGGGCCCGAGCTGCCATGTCATCGAGGAGGGGGGAGTCGAGTCGAGTCGAGACTCTCTCTGGGGCCCGTTAGCTGGCATTCATCAGCAGGACCAGGGCCTGCGCATGGTGGAGCGCGATGCGAGGGGCCGGCCCCGCAGCACCGCCGCAGCCCTGGCATAGCCCTGCCGGCCCTGCCGCAGCCCCCCAGGCAGGGAACGGGGGGCCGTGGGACGAGTCGGAGCGAGTTTCTGGGGAGCATGACGGATCACCCCTGTCGGAACGCGTCAGCCAAGAGCATGGAAGTTGTTAGGGGTGTGTGGTGGACCAGGGGGAGGGTGTGTAAGGCACGAGGCGCATCGGTAGGATGTCGCTGCGGGTGGCGACCCCCCAACCTCTCCCCACCCCTTTTCGGCCGGACACCGAGCCGCACTTGTCCCGCAGGCGTGTTAGTGGGTCACCGCCGAGCGGCTGGGGTGCGCGTGTGGCACGACACGACTCGGGCCGGGCGAGGCGACGTGTACCCAGCTCCTGCCCCCCCCCCCTCCTTTCCCGCTTCCAACGCTTTTTACGGTAATCATCATTCATTTGCATTTTGTCCTGGCGGTCCTCTGGCGGCACTCTGCGCGCCTGTCAGCCTGTCATGTGGAAAAAAACTTTGGGCGCGTAAAAGCAAAAGCGCCCTGAGGAGGCAACAGGACCCAGTGGGGTGTGGCGGCTGGAGCGCCGTCAATCGGGCGAAGGGGTATGGGGAGTACCTATAAAACCTCGTACAAAACACACGACGCCTGGTCGCGTGGCCGGTGTTGCGTCAAATGACACGTTCAGCGCAGCAAAGCACCCACCTCCTCCATCTCCAGGCCGACGCGCCGCAGGTTGTCCAGGAAGCGATGCCGCCACACCTCGTGCTTGGCTGAGCGGTGGTTGTCCGAGCGCAGAAGGCCGCCGCCCGCCTCCGCGCCCGCCCCCGGGGTGGCGCCGCCGCCGCCGTTGCCGACGGCCTCCTCGTACACGAGCACGAAGTCGATCTTGCGCCGGCCGTCGCTGAAGCATGTGGCCGGGTCAGGGGCGGAGCGGGCCGACAGGTAGAGGTGAGCGGCCGCGTTGGCAGCAGCGCCGCCGCCTCCGCCTCCGCCGCCGCCTCCGCCACCTCCACCACCACCTCCACCCGCAGCGCTGCCCACGACCGCGGCCCCGCCGGTCCCGCCGCCGCTGTGGGTGCCGCTGCCACCGGCCGCCTCTCCGGCCCCGGTCGACAAGGAGACCTCGCCGTCGCCGTCCCCGGAGCGGTCGACAGAGCCCAGCGCGGCGCCGTCAGAGTCGTCCTCATCCTCCTGAAACAAACACGAGTGATGCAAAAAGGAGAAAACGATGGCTTGCTTCTTTCCGCGTTATTAATTTCCGGGGCCTGCGCTGCGCCCGGCGAAGCCCCGTGCGGCCCCGGGCCGGAGTGGCGCGGAATTGGTTCGTTCAGCACACACAATCGACCCCGCCGCTCGGGGAAAAGTCTCTTTTATTCACGCTTTGGCCGCAATGTCCGGCTCACCTGCAGTATTCCTTGGCCGTCCTCTCTGATGGAGCCATAGTCGCTGTTACCACGCCGGTCCGCACTGCGTCGTTGAGAGTAGCGGCGGTAGCGCCGACTCGACATCGCACGCCAGCCACGGCGTCAACCGCGGCCCCCCAGAGCCGCCGCCGCCCCGCCCGCGGCCCGCCTCACCGCCGCCCGCCCCCCGCATCGGGCCGCCCCTGGGCGTCGGGAGCCGCGCGCCGCTCCACCTCGGCCATCACGGCGCTGACGAGACGACCTGCGGACAGAGAAAAGCACTTTGAGAAAAGCGGCTCGAGAGCACTCTTCCCAGCTGCTGAGGTCTGAGGTGCACTTTTGGTAATCTGGTGGGTGATCTTTGTTTTTCAGGACTTCTCTGGCGATGATTGGTTTGCGTAACCACTGTGAGGCCAACAAAGGATACTTTCTATTTTGAGTTCGTCTCCGGCGTCTTCCGAACCTAGTGTTTTGTATTGTGCTTGCCTGGTAGTGTGAGGTAAGAATATGGCGTGGAGCACGGTGTGGTGTATCTCTCTGCACCGTGGCGTGGAGGTAGCTTGCCTGCTCTGCTCGCCTCTCACCTGCCCGAGCGCCCGAGCAGACCGAGCGCGGTCTGTTTCGGCCCGTCCATGATCCCTCAGAAGTTCTGGCACTGAAGGGGCTAGCAACGCCCAGCTGCTTTACAGCAGAAAACGCTCGAGCGAACCAGTGGGAACAGTAAAGAAACCTAAAACTGGGAGGGAAAAAGCAGCACAGATCGCTCTTTTTGGTGGGTCCTCCCTAAAGCTACTTAGGAACGAGAGGGGAGCAGTGGGGGCGGTGAAAGGCTTTACGAAATTTCCGCCTC